AGACCAGCAAAATATGTATTTGTATGTGTGACAGATATAGTGGAACTAGAAGACTGTTGATCCTTATACCATTCGAGAAATTTGTTGAACATAGCAGACATGTCAGATGCAACAGAAGAAGGAAGATCCCCTACAGATAAAGGTGGGGAAAGATTGGTCTGAACAACTACAGCAGACTGAGGAGGACGACCATGTAATGTATAACACTTGTTAATCTTGTGACCTAGCTTGCCACAATGTTCACACTTAGCTGTATAAAAGAGCGCAACTCTTTTAACCAATTGTAAAATTCAATGACAAAGATAATTCTTTTCTGATGTGGAGGATCAGTTTACCAGCAGCGGTGGGGCGGCTTTAGCAGCGGTGGGGAGGCTCTAGCAGCGGTGGGGCGGCTCCAACAGTGGACAAAAGGCGGAAAAAAAAAAAAAATTCAAGAGAACCTTAAGCTCTGATACCATGTTGAATATAGAGAAAATATGGTTTGGAATTAATTTCCCTTGTGTATAAATCACACATAGGGTAGTCTATTTATAGTAGAGATATACAACTAAAAGAGTAACTGAAAGTAACAGAATAAACAGAAGATATTGTTTGATATTGTGGTTACCAATATCTAACAATATCTTAACAATATCAAATAATATATAAACAATATCTAACACGGTTCATCTGGGAACCGACGTGGAAAGTACTTTATACGTCATCTCAGCTATAACCGACGTTAAATGACGACGTAGAAAGTATATTTTGTAGTAGTGAGTCAATATTAATTAAAGTGATTATGATGAGTAAATCTCACAAACAAGATTATCAGACTCGAGAGTCTATGTAGACTTGTGAGAGATCGTTGAACTCGACTCGTAGACTCATAAGAGTTTATTTCATATGAATTTAATAATAAATATAATAATATTAATTCCTCATTATTAAAATAATAAAAAAAATGAATTGGTACAATAGTATAATTAAAATAAAAAAATAAAAATCCTGAATGTCTAAAATCTCTCTATCTATTTGAAACCCTAAAATATCAAATCCTTCAATCCCTCAATCCCTCAATCTAACATGTCACATCTATTCGAAAATCTTAAAATCTCAATCTCTCCATTCCTCAATCTAACCTAGAAGGCAGTGAGCAGCAACGAACAACTGTAAGGAGCGTGACCACCGTACGACCCATGGGAACATCGCGGACCATTGCGCAACCACTACGCGACTAATGTGTGACCCAAGTGAACGTACGCGACCTAAGCAAGTGTCGCATGACCACCGTGCGACCAAAGGTAAGCACATAATGATGATCACCGACGCCAGTAAACAGCGACGAACAGTGGAAATGAGCGAGATCTAAACTTGTGAAAAGAAATGAGGAGAGTCAAAAAAAAACCAAGTTTTTCTTTTCCTTCAAACTCGCTGACTCGCCTCTAGTCATAATTTTACTCAGAGTACATAAAGTTCACTGAGTTTGACTCTAAGTTTATTCTAAAACGAGTCTACTCACGAATTAACTCATATCCAGTTATTTAACTCGTTAACTCATCTGAGTTAACGAATTAACTCGCGAGTTTAATAATCATGCTAAAAAATATTCAAATATAGACATTAATATAAATTTATTTTGCTTCTATTATTTTAAGTAACTCAACTTGGAAGCCCTGAATTATATAGGATCTTTTATTTATTATTATTTTATATAATATTTATTATCTTTTGAATTATTATATTATCTTTCTAGTTCTAGATAAGAAAATTTAATCAATGAATAAATCTTATTTTATCATTTATTTTCAGATTTTTAAAAACTAACTTGAAGATTGGATATTCTTTGATAAAAGAACATCTAGTCTTTCTAAATAAAGATACTTTCAACCATGATAAAGTGACTACTTAACCTAGGCGACATGCTATCGATTTTCACCGGCCCATAAACATGTATATAATATTTATATTTTTTTTATACGAAATTGTTATATTTCTCCGCTCTTTCTTCCCGTATTTCTTTAAGTTACACCCATAAGCATCACATTAGTGACTTTAATTGAAGGATTTGGAATCATCAATAACTCAGATGAATATTATTGAAATGCGTGCCCGTGAGGACCACTTGCATTGCTCCCGGTACAACCAGGATTAGATTGCTTTCAAGTCGTTTGAAAGATTGACAAAGCAGCCAATTCATCTCCATTCGGAAATAGCGTGCAAATTGCTTTCATAATTTGAAAGATTGAAAAAGCAACTAATTCAACTGCATTCGGAAATAACGTGCAAAAACGATCAAATAAAAAATAAATTTTAAACTACATTGTGTATAAAAGTTAATTTGAATCAAAGTTTTATGGTAATCTTTGATTCTCTAAAAGATGGAGGAGTTATACAGTGAAAAATTTATTGATCGGTCAGAACGAGAGATACTGAATATTTCTACCTAAATATATAATTTTCTTTTGTTTAATCCGGACATAAATATTTCGGTGTTGTTTTGATTAGAATCTTTTAGGTTGATTTTAATAAAAGAGATATATTATAAGCATGTAAACATTGTTTAAAGAATGTTGAATCTGTTGAAAAAAAAAATTATTGTGAGAGAAGACGATAGGCGCGAAGATTTATTGGTAATTAGTAACATGATTGCATTGAATTGTACACTTTTTAATTGAATTAATATTAAAGTATAAATAATTTTTTTTGTTTAATTTAACTTGAATGTTAATGTTATTGATTAAAATTAATTACTTAGGATTTCTCTATTTAATCTAGTCATTTCTAAGAATTTGATATTTTTTATATCTTTATTATAATATATATATATATATATATATATATATATATATATATATAAAATAGATGAAAACAAATATATAAAGGAAAAAATATTATCATATCATATATCAACAGTATAGCTTATCCTACACCCACTAGATCTAAATTGGTACAATTAATATTTTAACTATGGTTGAACATGTCCACTGAAACCTTATACTTTTAAATAACTAAATTTTAATTAATTGATTTAGAATTAAATTGATATAAAATCGAAAATAAAAATAATAAAATTAAAAAAATAGATAAATTTTCAGTTTGAACCTATTTTACTATATATATATATATATATATATATATATATATATATATATATATATTAAAAAAATTATTTTTTAATAAAAAATATAATAATATTTTTTATTTTATATTAATCACGTCAACTTTAAATCATAATTATTTTATTAATATTTTATATTTGTAATCAGTATGATAACAATTTTTTATTATCTTTCTTTTTATTAAAAGAAATATTGTTATTAATATATTTATTATATTATAAAATATTATTTATTAAATCTAGTTAGACTATTTTTACATTTAAACATGTTGAATTCATATTTATTTTTATTGATTTAATGATAGGTTGAATTTTAAAATATTGATTATAATTAATTAGTATATTATTATTAAAAATGTCAAAACACCTAACAAATCGTACATCAAGTTCAACAAAAATTAATTATAGTTTTTTACTTTCTACTTTGATTAGATCTATCTATATAAATTATAAAATTGATTTAGAATCTTTAAAAATAATCTATCCAAAGAATCCTTATCTATGTCAATTATAAAGTTGATTTAGAATCTCTAAAAGTAAATCTATACAAAGAGTCCTTTATCTTATATCAATTATAAAATTGATTTAGAATCTCTAAAAATAAATTATCAAAAGAGTCCTTATCCCAGAGTGATTAAAAAAAATTTACTATTAAAAATTTCAATAATTTTATAAAATTTCTTAATATTTAATTTAAATAAAAATATTAAAACAGTATTCTATAAATTCATCAAGACAACTCTTTGCCATAATAAATATGTTCACTTAAAAAATATAAGAGTAGTTTTATACATAAAATAGAAACAAAACTATAATGTTTCAAATTATATATTAGCCTTCTTTTTGAAACCCTAACATCTACATCCTCTTGACCTACGTCACCGAGTGGTATGTGAATTATTGACTAGTCTTCTTCTAATCTGTACAATGGTCCATGGTTCACGTCGTATTCATACTTTTTCCTGTATATTAAATATTTTATTTGATTTATTAATTATTTCATTAAATTTTTTACTATTCATTATTAAAAGAAGTAGTTAATTTTATTATATATTGATAATTAAGATATATATATATATATATATATATATATAGTAATGTATATTGTTATAATTATAGGAAAATAATGAAGATAATAACCAATCATAAATGTATACAGAGTCATTGTAAATATTTTCTTCAATAAAAAATTTAAATAATATATAAATAAATTATTTGTACGTATATTACTTAATAACATTAAATTTATATATTTATATATATATATATATATATATATATATATATGAATATATACATTATTTAAACATTCATTTGAGATATATAATAGCTTTTCTAATAATAATTAAAATTTTAATAAAATAATTAATAATATAAAAATCAAAGAAATTATTTAAATTATTAAATAGAAATATTTATCATAATTTTTATATAAAAAATATATTTCATCCTAATTTTAATATTATACTAGATAAATAGCCATCGCCGTTGGATTCATCTAGGTTAGAGTCTTCGGTAGGTAAGCTAGGAAAGTTATACAGCCGTCATTTACTGTTTGGGCAATAACCATTTCAAACAACAGAACCGAGTGTGTCTTATGAAGTACAATATTTCCGCAACTTTTAATATTTGACTATGTCTTCCTTTTAACATTAAATACTTTCATCTCTTTTCCATTCAATTAAACTGTACACTGATCAATGTATAACGGGTCCACCTCCCACTATAAATACCACACTACTACCATGCCAACTTCTCAACTAACAAAGCCTCAATCTTTCTTAGTTAGCATTAACTTCTTGTTGCACATTGCTTTCTGTCCATAGAGAAACTACACCCTTTGCTTCTCTTAACATTAATCCTTACTCAGAGAAAAGTTTTGTGTGCACACAAATTAACCATGGAGAGATCAAAGTCATGCGTTGAACAAATTCAGCCTCCAACTTATGGAAACTTAGTCACCATTCTTAGCATCGATGGGGGTGGCATTAGGGGCATCATCCCCGCTACCATTATTCATTTCCTTGAGTCTCAGCTTCAGGTATATATATCAAATGCTCCAAAACCATGACATAATACTTATTAAGACTGAACCAATTCCATTCTTGAAGAACCAAACTAAATGACATGTTAAATACATATATAGTATTGAAAGAATAGTAACATTGATATATACATGATGAAATGCAGGATTTGGATGGTCCAGAGGCAAGGCTGGCAGATTACTTTGATGTGATATCAGGAACAAGCACGGGAGGTCTTGTAACAGCCATGATAACTGCTCCAGACAGCAACAATCGACCACTTTTTGCTGCCAAAGATATCAAGCCCTTTTACATGGAACACTGTCCTAAAATATTCCCACAGCATAGGTACTTGATTAATATTGTAGTATCTGGATCAATTCATGCATGTATCTCTATCTTTCTTTATTCACTTCTGTTTATTTAAATGCACTCACAGTGATAATGGAGAAATTATTTATGTATGTATGGCTTGCTCTGCAGTGGCCTCGGAGGAACTATATTAGCAAACTTGATAAGATCTATGGGAGGACCCAAATACGACGGGAAATACCTTCATGAGGTTGTGAGAGAGAAACTTGGAGAGATTCGGTTGCATGAGACTCTCACCAACGTTGTCATTCCCACATTCGACATCAAGTCCATGCAACCCACTATTTTCTCTTCTTATCAGGTTAATTTTCCTCTCTTTTTCTTCTTTTTTTCTATCCACTTTTTAAATATGTCAATGTTTATATTTACATTTTTATTGAAAAGAAAACATTAACACACAAGGGAATTAAATTAAAAGAAAGGAGAAGGTGAGAAAGAAAGTAACAGGAAAGTATAAAATAACTGATGCAGATTAAGATGTCCCCTTGCTTGGATGCTAAACTCTCAGACATATGCATAAGCACCTCCGCTGCACCTACTTATCTCCCTGCACACAATTTCGATAACCAAGACTCCAAAGGGAAACTTCACAAATTCAATCTCATTGATGGTGGCGTTTGTGCAAATAACCCAGTATGTATTCACCAATTCACCGATTAATTTTTATTTCAGATTTTATTTAACAAAAAACTATATGCATAATGATTAATCATGTTGGAATGCATCACTAACTTGTTTTGTTTTCCGGAATTTCATGATGCAGACCCTAGTTGCCATGAACGAAGTTACAAAGCAAATCATAAAGCAAAATTCTGATTTCTTTCCCATCAAGCCTCTGGAATATAGTCGCTTCCTAATAATTTCAATAGGCACCGGGACAGCAAAGAATGAGGAAAAATTCAATGCCCAAATTGCAGCCAAATGGGGTTTATTGGATTGGCTAACCTATGGAGGCAGTACTCCCTTAACCGACGTTTTCACTCAATCCAGTGCAGATATGGTGGATTTCCATTTATCTACTGTCACTCAAGCCCTTCACTCCGAAGAAAATTATCTTCGAATTCAGGTAATATTCTTAAACCTATATTTAACTCTCTCTTCGTATATACTGTATGCATGAATATATACATAAATGATAAAATGAACTTGTGCGATAACATTGCAGGATGACACGTTGACTGGAACGGATTCTTCAGTTGACATTGCTACAAAGGAGAACCTGGAGAAACTTAGTCAAATTGGAGAAAATCTGCTGAAGAAACCGGTGTCTAGGGTGAATTTAGAGAATGGTCTAGTTGAGCCACTGAGAAACGGAGAAACCAATGAACATGCTCTTAAAAGGTTAGTTTCTAAACGGCACTTTTGGCAGTTTAATTAATCATCAGCACGTAAATTGCAAATGGTTTACTTGATTACAATAACACATTCACTTTAATGCTTTCAGGTTTGCAAAAATACTCTCACAAGAGAGGAAACTCCGTGACATGAGATCCCCACACACTAGGAAGGCCTTCTAGATCCGTTTATCGTTTTAGGCAGGATTTCCATTCCATCGGCTCAACTCATTTAATCACTCACCATACCTTTTTCTCGTAACTCTCTTTTGTACCATTGCTTATTAAATAAAATGTGAATTCAGGACCTAGTTGATCGTATTCTTGTTTGTACTTAGCTTTTGTGCATCAGTTGTAAATCGATTCAAATAATATAAAAAATTCTTATTCTTTTTTCTTGATTTGATAACATCGAAAGTGAAAGTAAGACAACATTATCAATTATAAAATCACATATAACTATAGAGAATACTAAATATACTTTACATTTCTATTTCTATAATCACATAAATGTTAAGATTAGAGAGAGGACATCGGAAAATTAATCTCAAAGTAAATAATTCATACTGTTAGATATTGTTTATATATTATTTGATATTGTTAAGATATTGTTAGATATTGGTAACCACAATATCAAACAATATCTTCTGTTTATTCTGTTACTTTCAGTTACTCTTTTAGTTGTATATCTCTACTATAAATAGACTACCCTATGTGTGATTTATACACAAGGGAAATTAATTCCAAACCATATTTTCTCTATATTCAACATGGTATCAGAGCGAACCACGGCAAAAGGGGACGAAGCACCACGTGTGAAACTACGAGGAAAGGAAGTACGACTATGCTTGCCTAATTGACATGACTCACACGCCAAACTAGATAAGTTAGACAAGGCAGGGACAAGTTTCTGTAACTTGGCAAGACTTGGATGACCTAACCGAGCATGAAGAAGAGAGGGAGACTCCATAACTGTACTAACATGTGTAGAGGGACGGAGATAATAAAGACCATGAGACTCACATCCTGTGCCAATCACACTGTTTCGAACTCCGGTCCCGTAAACACACCGAATTGTTGGTAAAAGTAACAACACAATCAAGAGAACGAGTTAGACGATCGATGGACAACGAGGTTAAAAGGAGACCCAGGGACATAAAGAACATTATCAATGGTTAAAGAAGAAAAAAGTTTAACCGTTCCAACACCATGAGATGATACTCTAGAGCCATCGACCGATGTAACAGAAGGTAAATGATTAGGAGAGGATAAAGAGGAGAACAAAGATTTGTTACCGAGTAATATGATCGGTGGCTCCTGAATCAAAAACCCAAGGACCAGGAGAAAATGATTGGGTCGGACCAAGTAAAATATGTATTTGTATGTGTGACGGATATAGTGGAACTAGAAGACTGTTGATCCTTATACCATTCGAGAAATTTGTTGAACATAGCGAGACATGTCGGATGCAACGAAGAAGGAAGATCCCCTACGGATAAAGGTGGGGAAAGATTGGTCCGAACAACTACAGCAGACCGAGGAGGACGACCATGTAATGTATAACACTTGTTAATCTTGTGACCTAGCTTGCCACAATGTTCACACTTAGGACGCCCTTTTTCCTGTTTGCGAGGGCGAGCCCGGTCATCACGATGGGATGTCAACACAAAAGAATCGTTAACAAAATTGGAAATAGTGGAAGAAGTCATGAAGAGCGGAAGAACAAACCCTGACCGAGACAAGCAAAATCATATGTCACCGGTAAAAAAAAATGAAACTCCGGCGAATTCTCCGACAGCGGCGAACCCGGAGACTGCTCCAGCGGCAGCGGTGACAGTAACGTGAACTAGTACACTAGGTAAGTTCCCAGGAAAGAGAGGTGGGTCACTAATGGACACACTTAAATACCAAGTCTTTCCTTGTCAGAACTTTCCTAAACATGCACTTTCACACTACCAAATAAAATTCAATGACAAAGATAATTCTTTTCTGATGTGGAGGATCAGTTTACCAGCAGCGGTGGGGCGGCTTTAGCAGCGGTGGGGAGGCTCTAGCAGCGGTGGGGCGGCTCCAACAGTGGACAAAAGGCGGAAAAAAAAAATGTTCCTCAACATTTTTGGGGTGATGCTCTTCTTACTGCATGTTATCTCATTAATCGCATGCCTTCTTCGGTTTTAGATAATAAAATACCTCATTCCATTTTATTCCCTCATGAACCACTTCATCCTTTACCTCTGAAAGTTTTCGGGTCTACATGTTTTGTTCATAATTTTAGTTCTGGTCTGGACAAACTTTCTCCTAGATCACATAAATGTGTTTTCTTAGGGTTTACAAGATCACAAAAAGGATACAAATGTTTTTCTCCTTCTCTTAACCGTTATTTTGTGTCAAAAGATGTCACCTTTGATGAGTTGTCTCTTTATTTTAAAAGTCAAACTTCACCTCTGTCTCCATCCAATCTTGTCAACACTCCTAATACATTTAATGTTCCTGTTGTTTGTGACCCTCTAATTGTGTCTTCTTCACCATTAGTTCCTGCTCCGCGATTAGCTTCTTCTCCACTGCCTCTTCGATTTATAGTTCTCGAAACCAATCACAACCACCACCATGTGACTCTACTCAAGTGCCAACTACTCTGTCTCCTCCGGATCCGACACATGAGTCCGACCTTCCCATTGCCCTCCGAAAAGGTATTCGTTCTACACGTAATCCCTCTCCCCATTATATTGCTTTGAGTTATCATCGATTGTCATTACCTTTTTATACATGTCTTTCCTCTATTTCTTCCGTGACCATTCCAAAAACTGTATCGTGAAGCTTTAGCCCATCCTGGTTGGCGTCAGGCCATGTTAGATGAACTAAGTGCTCTTCATAATAGTGGAACTTGGGAATTGGTCCCGTTACCGTCTGGGAAATCTGTTGTTGGTTGCGGGTGGGTGTTTGCTATCAAAGTTGGACCTGATGGTACTATTGATCGCCTCAAAGCTCGTCTTGTGGCCAAAGGTTATACTCAAATTTTTGGGTTGGATTATGGAGATACCTTTTCCCCTGTGGCAAAGATGGCTTACGTTCGTTTATTTATCGCCATGGTCGCTTCTTCAACAATGGCCTCTTTATCAACTCGGATGTTAAAAATGCTTTCCTCAATGGTGATTTGCAAGAAGAAATATATATGGAGCAACCTCCTGGGTTTGTTGCTCAGGGGAGTCTTCCGGGATGGTATGTCGTCTTCGCAAATCCCTATATGGCCTAAAACAGTCTCCTAGGGCTTGGTTTGGAAAGTTTAGCAAGGTTGTTCAACAATTTGGTATGACTCGGTGTGAATCGAGATCATTCGTCTTTTATCGACACTCGAGTGCTTGGATGTGTTTACTTGATAGTATATGTTGATGATATTGTTCTTACAGGTAGTGACAACCATGGCATCTCTCGGTTGAAACAACATCTTTGTCACCATTTTCGAGATCAAAGATCTTGGCAAACTTAGATATTTCTTGGGTATTGAGGTAGCACAGTCCAATGATGGTATTGTTATATCTCGGAGGAAGTATGCCATAGATATTTTGGAGGAAAGCTGGGTTGATGAGTTCAAAGTATGTTGATACACCCATGGATCCCAATACTAAACTTCTACCAAATCGGGGGAGCCTATATCGATCCTGAGCGAGTATAGAAGATTGGTTGGAAAATTGAATTATCTTACGAGTTACTCGTCCCGACATTTCCTTTGCGATCGAGTGTGGTAAGTCAATTTCTTAATTCACCATGTGAAGATCATTGGAATGCGAGTCATTCGTATCTTGAAGTATATTAAAGGATCTCCTGGAAAAGGATTGTTATATGCTTCTAATAACCATATAAGAGTTGTTTGCTACTCGGATGCTTGATTGGGCGGGATCTCCTTCGGATAGAAGATCTACATCCGGATATTGTGTCTCCATTGGTGGTAACTTGATTTCATGGAAAAGTAAGAAACAAAGTGTTGTGGCAAGATCCAGTGCGAAGCGAGAATATAGAGCTATGGCCTCGGCTTCCTGTGAACTTGTTTGGCTCAAGCAATTGCTTAGAGAGTTACAATTTGGAGATGTCACTCAAATGACACTTGTGTGTGACAATCAGTCTGCTCTTCATATTAGTTCTAATCCTGTCTTTCATGAGAGGACCAAACACATTGAGATTGACTTGTCATTTTATTCGAGAAAAGATTATGTCTGGAGATATCAAGACTGAGTTTGTTAACTCAAGTGATCAGTTAGCAGATATTTTTACTAAATCTTTACGGGGTCCTAGAATTGATTATATTTGTAACAAGCTTGGCACATACGATTTGTATGCTCCAGCTTGAGGGGGAGTGTTAGATATTGTTTATATATTATTTGATATTGTTAAGATATTGTTAGATATTGGTAACCACAATATCAAACAATATCTTCTGTTTATTCTGTTACTTTCAGTTACTCTTTTAGTTGTATATCTCTACTATAAATAGACTACCCTATGTGTGATTTATACACAAGGGAAATTAATTTCAAACCATATTTTCTCTATATTCAACACATACAAATACTTTTTATAGATTGGAACATATTTCTCTAATAAAATCTTAAAAAAGTTAACTTGTTAGAACAATGAAAGAAAGAGGATGTGGTATATCTCTTCACCAATTCTCTCTTTTTTAATCTTTACTTTCTCATTTATTGCTTGCAATTCATTCTGATTTATTTATTTTTTTACTAGTTTCTATTTCCAAAAAGTGAAAACAAAAATAGAAAGTAAAGAACTTGTGGTGATGCTTCCCAACCTCTTCCATAGTATCTCCTCATCTTCCTCGACCTCAACCTTCATATTAGCCTTATTCTCGTTCTTGATTTTGTTCGTTATGTATAAGTTGTGTGAGTAAACCAAATCTTATGAGTTCTTTAATGATATTTTTAACCTTTTGGTATTGTCGGTAGTTTGTCTATAATTATGATGAAAATACTTGGTCGTATATGTATGGGCTGGGGATGGTAGTGGTGGAGGTGTATGCACAAGTTCTAATCTGAAAGCCTCTTAAAGAACCGCTTCTCGGTTGGTATTTAGTGATGTATAATGTTTGTATTTAGATATCCTAGGTTTTTTGGAGGGTTGAGTCGAATATGTCCGAGGATTGGTATTTTTTTCTTATATCTTGCATTGTTATC